AATTAAACACCCACACGCAGCGTTGCTACGAAAACTTGTTTCTCCATGACAAGTTTGCCAAGACTGCTTAACTTTTATGGGGGATGAAAACAAACACTAGAGTGAACAAAAGTCCGCCCGCTTCTTCAACTGGCTACCTCTCTCTATATGCTTGTCCTTATTTAAATTTCTTAATTGAGGGGGAGCGACCACTAACTCTCTCTTCTTCTTATTCCTTGTATGTCCCAAACGGATGAACCAATTTGAACAGTGATTAACAAATAAAAAAAAAAAAAAATTACATTATTACCACTACTATGTAGCTCTGAATGGGGATGGGGGGCTACGTAAAAAAATTTTTGTGACAATACTTTTTGGTCAAATTTGCCTGGCCTTACCTATTTTCAGAAAAAAAAAACAAAAAAAAATCCTATGGTATTATATATTATTATATATTATTATATAGTGTTATATCGTGCCATATGGGGATGAATATTTTTTTTTTTTTTTTTTTTTTTTTTTTTCTCCGAACATGTTGCATATTTCATATTATATATAATATGTCGGCATATTTCCAAAAAGAGGCAATTTGCAAAAATGTTAAAAAAGTTTGCAAGTTCCAATTTGATGAGAGAACTTTCTCCTGTTCTTAATTTTTTTTTTTTTTTTTTTTTTTTTGGTAATTCAAGTATACATTCATTTCCCCCTTGTTCGAAAAATTGTTTCAAGCCAAGTAGCTATAAATATTGTTGAGTGAACACTTTCCCAGAATGAATGATTGAGCTGTGCGTGCCATTTAATTAGAAAAGTAACCGATTTGGAGGAAAACAAAGTTCCATAGAAACAGCTGCTTGTATATAGTTCTCACCAGAGGGGGGACCCACATTTCCCCCACCCATGCACATTTTTTCAGGCAGTGGAAAAAGCACGAGAAAAATATATACACCCATTTGTTCTTCAGGGGTGGAAAAGATTAGAAGCCGAATTTTTTTTTCTCATTTTTTTTTGGTAGATCCAGTTTTGAATAACGGGAAGGAGGGGGGAGAACCTTTTTGGGGGAAGACCATCCTCACGTGTTATGAGCATTGGATGCGTCTCCCCAAGTGAATGCCTGACTCTCTAAACCTGTGAATTGGGAAAGTAATTTTTTTTTTTATAAGTGTAGTTCTTCCCGCCAGGGCGGGGGTGCTGCCGAATGTTTTCAACAGGACAAACATCCTAGAGGGGTGGCACAAGCGACCCACCGCTTCGAATCGATCAGTGCGTGGAAGCGAACCGCCGCTTCGAACGAAAAGCTGCATCAGGGACCCCTTTCCAAGGATGAGCGACGAAGAGGTGAGTACGCCTCTGGGGGATAAGCATGACGAAGGGGACATGCAAAGCGAAAGCGAAGACATAATATATGAAAACTATACGGAGAGGACAGATGAGCTAATCGCATCTGCCAGCATGATGGAGGAACACGAGGAGGAGGCCGACGACGACGGGGCTGCCAAGGAAGAACCTAATTCAGGAGATGATGACCCCCTCGACCAAAGTGGTGACAACGTGTGCACAGCTGATGACCACAGCGGAAGAGAGTTACACATGATGAGAGAGGACTCAAATCAGGTGTGGGAATTGGATAGCGGGGAAAATTACTCCCAAGCGAAGGAAGAATCAAACAACGTGCAAGCTGAACAAGACCCAGCCGATAATAACTCTGTTGATGATACTAGTTCTCTTTACGTGAGCCAAAGTTTAGATGTGGGTCTGAGTCAGTTGGGTTTGAGTCAAATGGGTGAGGCTTCTTCCAGCGCTGCACTTTTTGTTAGCGAAACGGGGGAAGGAGCTCCCACAACCAGCGCGGAATGGGCGAAGGTAGAGGGGGAACAAGAAGCAACGGGAGGCATTCTCCTTAACGGAGGGGCGAAGAAGGAAGGAGGAGAAGAAGATGAAAAAATGAATCCGTTAGAGAACCACCATGTGGAACCCAGTGAAGGCACGAAGAACGCGCACGCAGAGCAGCCTCCTCATCAACATGAAGCGAACCAACCACAACCCGTGTGCATGCGACGGTCGAACACCTACCTTCGAAGTATTGTAACGAAGAAATCTCCAAACATGAAAAATAGTATTCATAATTTAAATTTTCTAAATGTAAATTCGATCACGTTTGATTCATGCTATGGTGGCGCAGGGGAGAAGAATTTTATGGGTGCCTCGAGTGGAGGTGCGGCTCATGGCGATGAGGGGTCGGTGATTAAAAACCCTCAATTAGCAAGTGGAGGCACCATGACGTATTCTAGTGAACTTGTGGAGGAAGAACTTCATAACATTTACACTCTCCTAAATGGGGAATTGACGAGGTCACCAGAAAACGACAAAGAGATTCACCGAGTGAAGGACGAAATTATTAATTTGTATAGAAACAACCCAACTGAACTGCTGACCTTGGAAAGGTGCTACGCCAGTGTAAGAGCAAATAAAAAATTAATTGACATTTTGTTTGGCTTGCTAGGAGGTGGTAGTGTGTGGACTCATACGAAATGGGATTCTTCCTTCGGCCACGGAGCACCACTGAATTATTTAACCTACGACACGGTTAACAATATGCATCAGGTGTGGAGACAAGATGGTGCAGCAAATTGGGGGCCAGCCCAAAACGGCGACACGGACAAAAAAAAACAAAAACGAAACAAAAAAAATGTTGCTAGCTATGGTGCGAATGAGTATGCCAACCTGAGGGGAGATCCTCTAGCCACCAGTGTAGTAGCAGTTGGAGAGGGCGCCCCTAATCAGTGGAATATGCCCCCCAATGAATCGCATCCCCATGGGGGAATGGGCACGTGGACTACCCCCCCCACCATGATGTACGGAAAGCATGGAGAGGAGCAACAGACCATGGGTGGTTTGCCATGGGGAGCAATGGACATGAAGGAGTACAATCCACACGTAAACCCCTTTGAGTGGTTAAACCAAAATGTGCAAATAAAAAATGAAAAATGTAAAGGAGGCCCCTTCGATGCAGATCATTACAATCCCCTGTCAGAGGAAAAAAAAAAAAAAAACATGATCGAATGGAATAACAACAGTGGGGATGGATCCAAAGGAAATAATTTTCCCCACCAACCCCTAAACAACATGTACAAATGTGTAAGCTGCAAAAATGTGTGCACCCACGTGTATTATATTTTAAAGCCTAACAATGTTAAAAAGGTTTCGTATGGTGTATTGGATAAATGTGTGTGGTGCAGCACTTGTTTCAACTCTAGTACGTACCCGAATATTTTGAACAGATCACATTTTATAAAAGTAAATATACCTTATAATTTTTCGAGCACCGATTGGAGTGTTGCTGAAGTGGAGAAACTCATTGATGCAGTTAGCATGTATAAAAACAACTGGGATAAAATAAGTGAATGTGTAGGAAGTAAAAGTGTATATGAATGTATTTTTAAATTTACTTCCATGCCTCTTTCTAACCCATACTTCGATGTGGATAACCTTCTTAACATTAATAATGTTTCTTTTAAATCTTTTAAACAAAATAATACTCTGCTCTCTTTGCTCTCCTTCATATGCAATTACATCAGCCCCTACATCGGGGCATACGCGGCGAAGAAAATTGTGGATTTCATTCTTAACAAGCAGCGCGAGTGCGTCGCCAGGGTTAAGGAGGGTGAGGACAGGAACAAGCGCGAGCAGTGGGAGAAGCGAGAAAACCCAGATGCTCAAAGGGGTGACATAAGAAATGAGAATGCAGAATCGCATCAGTCTGCGGGGGGAGAAGAGCCATCCTGCGAAGACCACTCACAAGCTGATCCAAATGGTAATGAGCAAAATGGGGAACACGCCACCGCTGCAGACGCGGCGGATGACGAAACGGGAGGGGGCACTCAACAGAACCAGCGCGAAGGGGCCCTACCCCAGTCGGACAGCGACGCAGGGAACGAAGACGGCCAAGCGAACGACATACAAACCAACGCCGCTGCGCAGCAGGAAGGTATTTCCAAGACGGGCCACCAGGGGGCATCGCTCATCGTGGCAGACGGGGAACAAGCAGGTACAGCAACGCACCAAATGGCCAACAGCGCTGACGTTAAAGCTGAAAGAGAAGACCCCAACATGGCCTGTGGCAACCCCGACTTCGTACCACTCCAAGTCAACATGCCGCCAAAGGACAATGCCTCTTCCACGTACATACTGAATGAGAAGGACATGCAGGAAATACATAACACCATTATTAACGCGTCCAAGAAGAGGGCCCGCCAGCTGGCAGAACTGGAGAGGCACAACATTAGGAAATTGTTGAAGGAACTCGCCGTTATAAACACCAGGAAGGTGAAGCTAAAGCTGAAGCAGTACCAGTACTTGCAAAATTATTTTGACATTCAGAACCAGCAAATGGTAAGTTGGGGGAGAGACCACACATGTTGTGTGCGAATGGGGCGCCTGCTCGGCGAGGGGTAACATCTGCGTTCCATCGCCCTGTACCGTCTAGCCGCCTGTACCGTCTAGCCGCCTGTACCGTCTAGCGGCGTGTAGCGACTAGCGGCCTGCTGCGCCCAACGTGCGTGGTGCTGTATTTGACGTGTGTTAATTTTGTTCCCCCTCAGGAGCGGAAGAGAGCGCGCCACGGAGATGAAGAGGCGGCAGAAAAAGACGAACAGAACAACTCATACGAACAGAACAACTCATACGAACAGAACAACTCATATGAACAGAGCGACCAGAGTGATGACTATTAGAACCATTCGCACAGTAAACAGAATGGAAAGGATACACACACGACGCACTGGATGGCGCGGTAACGTTGCTCCGCCGATGCGGCGTGCGGATTTGTTACTTTTTTTTTTTTTTTTTAACGCATACGCGTGACGTATGCCTCAAATTAGGGGTGCACGTATGGAGAAGGTTTGTAGAGGGGTTTTCCCCTCGCACCTTTTAGCGGCTCTCTATGACGCCGTCCACCCGCTACACCCAAACACGTTTTTCCACCAATTAAACAAACATGGTGAATCTTTCAAACCGATTTAAAAACACAAAAAAGTGTACACCTCTTTCCACATTATTAACGGCGCGTCCGGGAAGGGACACAATATATATATCTTCCTCACTTCGCGCGTGACAGGCTTATTCAAAATATGTCTTCACGACGCCAAGGCACCTCGGGCAGAAGAGTTCCCCTTCAAAGCGGCTGACCGTTCCGTACATCCAGCACCTGCGTTTGGGGAGTGGTAAAAAAATACATAATAAAATGAAAAGAAGTCCATTAGGAGGTGACGGCGTAGGTTGGCCACCCATTTTGCCGCCCAGTCTTGCCGCTGACTCACCTGGCGCACTTAGCCCCGTCCGATTTGCCGATCCCGACGTGGATGGAGGTCTGCTTGGAGGCGTCCCCCGCGCGAAGCATATCCTGAAAGGGGTCCTCCTCCGCTTGTGCCCCCTGCAACAGCTGGTCCACGTCTTCATCACAAGCTTGTGTAGTTCCTCCCTCCCCACCACGAACAAGTGGTATTTTGTACGTGCGGAAGGAGGGGTCCATCTTCTTCAGCTCCATTAAGTCTTTACACAAAACAACGTTGGAGACGTTAAACAGAAAACGAAGGTCATCATGGTTATTAAAAGTGGAGAGAGGATTGGGCGTTTTTAAAAAGTGCTTCAACAAAGTGATTACCTCATCGCTATCTGAATATAAATAAACTACTGCCTCTAACGAATTGGGTAAAATTTCATTCATTTGTTTATGTACAAAATATTTTATTAAGAAAAGGGTTTCCAAGTGTACGTCTTTTCTCCTTTTAATGGTTGGCAGCTGGCAAAGGAAAAGCGATTTCTCTGCTGTCCCCTGTCCAGCCCTGCCCTTAACGGATAGCAGCGTCCGGTACACATCCTCACACAAGTGTGGGACGACGGGGGCCAGTATCTTCAGCATGTCGACCAGCACATTGTACAAAACCATTTGGCAATTCCTCCTGCTTATGGAGTTCCTCTCATGTACATACAATCTGTCCTTGCAGTAGTCAATATATGCAGCTAAATCACGATTAACAAAATTCATTATATATTTTATAAGGAGCTGTAATTGAAATTTTGAGTAAGCTTTGAGGCAACATTGAATTGTCTTTTCCTTCTTATACAAAATAAACTGGTCCATCATTTGGAGGTCTCCTTTCACTTCCAATGTTACATTTGAAAAATGCAAGTCATGTAAATTGTTAAGCAAAAACTTTAATGTGTTATACAGCTTTAGGTAAATGTGTTTATTTATGTCTTCTAATATTTGGTGACTTACAGAAACGTTTTTATTAACAAAGTTGTAGCAGCAAACCCACAGCCGCACAATATCAGCGTTGAAATGTTTTTCTTCCGAGGGGGGGGCCGCCTTCGCCTTCCTCCCCTTCACATTTCCTTTGCTGCAAGGTCCCCCACGTGATACTACATCGGCAGTGTTACTCCGGTGGGCTCCACTCAAGGGGAACAAATTACGAGGGGAGATCACATTGTTCAGACTTTTGCTCAATTTTACATTGTTCGCATCAACGACGTAGTTGTGTACGATAACGTTGCTGATTGGGAGGGCGCTGTCGCGGTTTCGCTTCGCGTGTTGCCGCGCGTATTGCCGCTCGCGTTGCCGCCTCCGCTTACCACTGTTAAGGAAAAAGTAAATAAAAAAAAAGGACTGGAACCACCCCCTGAGCTGGTCCACCCCCTCACAGCACAAGTGTATACCCATATCCTTCAACAAAAAGGAGTCCCCTCTTTTTCCCTTTCTGCATGGATCGACAATCTCACTAACGCTTCCTACCTTGAAGTAATTTTTCTCACTTTTGAGTCTCTTCATTAACCGTTGGTACATCACTTCCGGATCGAATATTTTCCTCTTTGTTGTTATATCGTTGAGGAGACTATCCTTTCGTTTCCCCCCATTTGCTTTCTCCAATTCATTATACACATCGTACATGTTAAAAAAGGGGAGTTGATCATTATTGCTGTTTGTCCCTAACAAAGCAAATGAGCGTTTTTTCTCCCCCCGACCAGACAACACCTTGTTCAAATACTCATTAAAGAGGATATGCTTGCACATGTGCATGACGTAGAGGTATGAAACGGAAGAGTCAAACCACACATCCATTACCTGCTGACCAAAACTCACTTTTGCGTCCCCCCCTATGAGTATATTTTTCAAGGGGATGTTTACTCCCCAGTACTTTTGTCTGCTGATGCACCACTCATTCCGATTCTGAATCGTTTTTATTAAAGCACCTTTCACATGTTCATTCACAAAGTTCATTTTCCTAATACCACAATAAAACAATTTGTTCTCTTTTATTTTTTCTATGTCCACGTACATCTGGAGGAGGGACTTTATCTGAACGCTCGTGTGAGATCGCCAGTCATATGTATACAGGTGCTCATACGGGAAGTGAAACAGGACATGCTCGTAGAAGGCACAGTAGAAGAGCAGGTGGGCGTCCTCCTGGTTGATGTTTATTTTGGGTGTGGATCCCACACCGTCACGCAGTGCATTATAAAGCGCAGCGATCCCTTCCCCTTTCGCCGACACCGCATCCCGCTTTATCACCTCAGCGCTTTTATTACATTTGTCGAGGACCACCTTTGCGTACTCCTCCTTCAGGTCATCGTTCTCATCAATCACATTTTCATCCTCAGCGGTTAATTCTCCAATTTTGCCACTTTCCCCTATATGGGTAAATTTTCCAATTTTCCCCCCTTTTGCGAGACGGCCCATTTGCGTCCCCCCTGGCCGCTTCCCTTCCTCGTAGTGCTCTCCCCCAAGGTGAACCTTTCGCAGTTCATTGTTCTGGTAGTACACGTTGTAGTCTGAAAAGCCATGTGCAGGGGCCACATGCACAATGCCAGAGCCGAAAGATTCATCAATTTCATTTTTCGTCACAAGGACAAAATTACTTTCCACTTGGTTAACAAAGTTAACGTATGTACATCCCTCGAAGTCCTTCCCCTTTAGCGTCAACACTTTTTTCACCTCCAAAATTCTGTCCTCCTTTGAGTAATATTTTTTTAAGTATTCGAGGAACATGTCTACTGACTTTTCACAGATGAGGAAAAAAAGAGAGTTGCCTTTTTCAAACGTCACCTTAACAATGTCGTATGCATACCCTGCATGAATCAACAAACACTTGTTATTAAAAATGGTGTACATTTGGGTGGTGAACACAAGTACCTTGAGCTTGCTCTGTATCATTTCCTTGGCTCGGAGCATTTCCACGTCGCGTTCTGTCACGTCGCGATGTCCCACGTGGTTAGTTGCCCCCGCGTGGTGTCCCACCTGAAGCATCTCCCTAACCAGCTCGTTGTCCACACTGGCTTCCAACACCTTCAAAGCTAAGTGGTCACTTACGCTGTGCAAGTCAAAGTAAAAGTAAAAGGAATTGCAAATTCGCTTTTTGTAAATAATTTCGCTGTCTGACAACACAGTCTGCGTCGCGTAGCTGTGGTATATGGGGCGGTTGCTCACGTAGATGTGCTTCTGCGGTGGGGGAAAGGAGGTGCATTTACGTGTATGCGTGTGGGGGGGGGGAAGCTATGCGATACGCTCTCACCGCGTTACCACGTTACAGCGCTACCGCTTTACAGCGCTATGGTGTTATCGCGTGTTCCACCCTTACGTGCTCGAGGAGGCTCCGAAAGACGGCCCTCTGTATATCCTCATAGAGCTTATAAAAAGTGACGTAGGTGTAGTCCCACAGGCCCCATATCCCGTAGGACACCAAAGACATGAACTGCTCGTTGATAAAGTGGGAGGCGTACGACTTGCACAGACTTTTGAAGTACATGATTTTTTTCTCCGCTTGGCTGGGGCTCACAGGAGGGATGTCCTCACGGCGCAGCAGGTCACGCACAAGGGTGGGACGTGTCCCGCTCAATCTATGCTGACGCATCTCCAAGTTGTTTCTGTTCTCCAATTTATTTCTATTCTCCCTCATCGTGAGCGACGTGGTAACGAAGTGCCCTTCACTTCCCCCCCCAGGGGTCTTCGCCTTATGGATGGTCAACACTTGAGAATTGTTGCTACTCATTTTTGAAGAGTCTGGTAAAGTGAGCTCTTGAACATTCTTAATGTTAAGCATTTTCATCACCTGGTACTCGATGGGGAGCCCATGTGTGTCGAACCCATGAATCAACATGACGCAGTAATTCTTCATTAACAAATATTTTAAGTATATGTCTTTTATAATTTTGTTTAGTATGTGTCCAATGTGAATGTCGTTGTTTGCATACGGTGGTCCATCGTGAATGATTCGTATCTTGTGATATATCTGCCTGTACAAATGGAGTAGTATTTTTTTTTTTTTTTTTTTTTTTTCAAAATTGTGGAGAATGGACTTTGCAAATTGATTTACATTATGATCCGTTTTGTATTCATCTTTGGTTTGTCTCTCCTCGTTGGAGATGATGCCAATCACTTCTGTCCACCTCAAATTTGTTAGGACTTTTTTTTTTCCCCTGATCAGGGGTTCTTCCTCTTTGCCCGTAACGGGTCCACATTTCCTGAACCCGTTTTTCCCCTCCTCTCCATGGGCAGATTCCTTCCTCTTCTTCCTTCCATCTCGTATGCACTTTTTGACATTAGCCAAGTTGCGCTTTTCGTAAACCCGTTCGGTGTTCCAGAAGTCCTGTATGTGTTTCTGCCTGAAGCAAGGGGGGGAGAACAAGCGGTGAAGGGAAGCATTTGTGCAGATGTGTGTGAAGGGAGCGTTGCCGCTCAATGGCCGCCCAACAGCCGCTCATTCGCCGCTCCATGACCCACCTCTCGAAGCTGGCATAGGTGGTGGGCAAAAGCTGGACGGGAAGATTCACCGACTGCCTAATTACATCCTTAATTTTATTTCTGTGTTCGTGTAGAGCGTGTTTTCTTTGCCTGCCATATGATGCCGCTGCTACGAAGCAAGGAGTGACTGCTATGGTGTGTCCGTTGAACAGATTTTCATTTAAGGTCTGCACAACTCTGTGTGTCCTCTTAAAGCAGAGAGACGTCCACTGGTGTGTAATTACTTGAACGAGCAGTATCGCTGTTACTGTGAGTGTTTTCCTCCTTTTCATTTTATGGGTGCTCGTTACTCGAGCTTACTCCCATAATAGAGACAGGGGGACAGGCATTGACACATGGAGATGCGTTTGTGTGGTGGTGGGGAGAGAGAAAACAAAAAAAAAAAAAGGACTAAAAATGGACTCTTTTTTCTTCCCTCATGTTTGCTTGTGCTGTTAGCCTTCATCATGGAGGGAGAGATCCTAATCAACACAGCGTGACCCCACATCTCACGAATGGGGTGGTTGGGAGAGAGGGGCTCCTGGCGACCATGCGCTCTTATCCACATGTGCCGCACTAGTGGGCGAGTTGCCTACCGGAGAGTCAAACACATGGCGGCTGAAAAATCGTCTAGCAGAGTGAGCCATGAGAAAGTTCCATTCCTGTGACAGAAAAAAAAAAAATAGGAAAAAAAAAAAAAAAAAAAAAACAGAGAAAAACACACACAACTATGTAGTTTATCTCACTTTAGCGAAGATGCACAAAAATAAACATTATTGGGTGAGGTAATATGTATAGTGTAGCTGATCGATTCTTCCGCTCCGCAGAACCGGGTCAGGCGTAGAGACGACGCTGCGGGATGGCGAAAAAAAAGGGGGCAACTTCCCCAGGTGGGCGACATCGACCCATTCACAAATGCGGTCACCACAAAAATGCTCAACACAACATGACTTACACAAAAACACTCCACACAAAAGTGTGCCCGCCCCAAACGAACATCGCCACCATGCACAATGCTCGCGTATGCTAGAAAAATTAATCACATAAAAAAAATCCTATACAGAGAGAAGGCAAAGAGGAATAAAAGAATCAAGTGTCACATCCAGCACGTGCCCTACAACGATCAGCACAAAGAAACGGTAACCCTGTCATATAAAAGGGGGACGCTCACACAGGTGATTGAATATGCAGAAAAGGAAAAGGGCCTTTTCCTCCTCAGTGATCATGTGGAGACGCGCACAAAAGGGAGAAGTCACCAAACCCTGCCTTCTGCTGAAAATGGTCCTACGTGGGTCAGCGCCGCACCCGATTGGGCTCCCCGACAGGGGAACGGGGATCATGAACAGGAACACACCAATGGCAAGGGGGACAGGAACCGCAACGTCGGGACCTTGTCCTACGAATCACTCATTAGCAGGTCACCACAAGGTAGCCCAATCTCCCCCCACACGAGCAAGCATAACATCATGGAGATGAAAAAATATCATCACGAACAGGAGAAAAAACGAATCGCACTAAACGGGCTAAACGAACGAAACGAACGAAACGAACGAAACGAACAAAGTGAACGGGGCAAACAAAACAGGCTGGTGATGCAGTACCATGTGGGGAGTGTAAAAGGCGTGATGACCATTTTGGACAAGTGCCAAGCGTACAACTACAAAAATGAAAACCTACTGGAGGACATTTGTGAATCTTTCCCCTCGCTCGGTCTACGAGAGACAAGCATAAAGGACCTCCTCACCATTCTACATGCCTTCATTAAATTAAATTATTTTAATGAGGCATATTTTAATTATATATTTTGCTTCATTTTAAATGAGCATTTTTTGAGTAACTCCAATTTGATATCCCTACTGTTCGTTTTGTCCAATGTAGAAAAGCTTAACGCCTTGAGTTGTGTCCTCCTCTACAGAGTCAATTTTATGCTCCTCCATAGGATGCACTCACTCTCCCTTCACCAACTGCATAATGTGCTGAACGCCTACCTGAAGATGTACAGGCGACTGTCGGCTCGGGAAGAACTTCAACGGGGTAATAAAAACCAGGTAACAAAGACGGATGGGCGAGCCTTCCCAAAAATCAATTCAACACATTTTGAGCTATTTTACAAGCTAAAATTTGACGATGCCACACAAACAGGGGAGTCTGCGAAACCGAGCCAACCACGCAACTCTGTCCACGTCATATTCCGCCTCATTGAATGTCTGAGGAAAAAAAAGATCCCCTTGGACAAACTGAGCAAATTCATAACCCCCCAAGATTGCCTTAACAAAGTTTTCATCACACACTTGAAGAAAGAAATAAGCCTCCTTTTTTTGAAGAAGTTAAAATCTGAACATGTCCTTTTTAACCGATTGGAGAGGAAGCGTCTGTATCGATTGAGGGATTCCATTTTAAAATCTCCTAAAGAAAGGGATCCCAGTGGGGAAGACAAGGTAGAACAAAAGGGAACCCCTCTGTGGCATTCCCACATGGATGAGAAGTCTCAAATGGGGATCCACTTAAAGGAGGGCGAACTGAATTCTGCTGGTACTTGCACTCAACAAGGGGGAGGGCGGCACACAGGGTCTGCAGCTATTCAGTTGAAGATAATAAAGAGGATGAAGAGGCAGCTGGATGCGCGGCTCCTCGTTCCTCTCATCAGGGTGTGTGACGTGCGCGATGAGGATCTCTGCTCAAGAGACCGCCGTAGTAGTCATCTTGATTGTGCCCCCGCCTCGCGAAGGAACCCTCCTCTGGACTTCCTTCTCCACTGCTACAAACACCTACCCCTGAAGTTCGATGCAAAAAGCCTGGTGGTGACCCTGAGCTGCTTCTCCCAGCGAAGACAAACACAGAATGACCAAGTGCTTCACATGCTAATGAACCTAATGGAAAAAAAAATAAATAAATTTACTCCAGAACAAATAGTGGACATGATGAAAAGTATCTCCAACCTGAGAGATCAAAGAATACCAAATGGCACTCTGAATTTTTTAATTAGATTTCTCTTTAACAAAAATGGAATTATTTACCTGAAGGATGCACACATATGTACTCTCCTAAATGTGATTCAAAAAAAAAAAAAATTCATTAATGAAGACGGTGTTCATTATATAAGTCACTTTGTCGTCAATCATAAGCCACCTTTTAAAAATGTGAAAAATATGTTTTCCTACTTTTCCTTCCATTTTCATTTTAACAAATTTGCTTACCACTTTTTAAATGCACTTTATTGTTCCTTCCTCAGTGGCAGCAGTGGTGGGCACCTCCTCGAGCTGGATCATCTCAATCGAGTTTTATCGTCCACTTTGGTAATTCCCAGTACTTGGAAATATCATAAAAGGGTCTTCAAAAAAATTGACACTTGTTTGTTATCCACATTGACGAGAATGAACCGATCGGACTACTTCCCTCGTCTCAGGGACCTATCCGATGTGCTCCAACTTATTTCCCACATGAACAGCTCCATGACCAGCGACGTTTACAAAGCGTACGAGGGTGAAATAAATCAAATGAGGCGGAAGAAACGTTCCCCTCGGAATGACATCACAAATTGGGTATTCGGCACGATAAATGGCGCAAATAGACAACACAAGGATGGAAAAGAAAAAAAAAAATTGAAATTTTATTACGCACACAATTCGTACAATGAAGTGTACCTCATGACGTCATCCTTCAATTTAAAAACCTTCATTTTGATCAAAAAATTTATCCAAAAGGTGTTACATGGTAAGGGATGTGCTAACCTGCACAATGAAGAGATAGCTCTGCTCATAAAGGCAATAACAAATTTGTATGAATTGCAAAAAAAAATCACCAAGATGGACAAAACATACACCTATTTTTACGTTGCAACGAAGGGGAGATGCAAAAAAAACAAAACTGTAAACACGTATCTTTTAAAAATAATTAACCAGATTAACAAAGATATTCTCCAATTTTTGTGCAAAATGGACCAGGAAAGGATCTTTCTCTGTAACGTTCATATGCTAAGGAGTAACTACCTGTTTGAGCCACTAATGAACGAACAACTCGTGCTGTCCTATCTTCAACAAAGTGTACACCGAATGGGGAACAAACCACTCAGCACAGGCACTGCCGTTCTTTTCTTTAATTTTTTGAGTTCATACAAAATTGACGAAATGGTTTTGTCCAGCCGAGGTGTACACATGAAGGATGTGTTGCACAGTTCGTGTGTGCCGCGAGCAGGTAAAAAGAGGCGTGTCCAACTAGCTAACCTAGCTATCCAAATTTTTTTTTTTTTTTTTTTGCAATCTTTTCGTCTGCACTGTTCATATTTTTGTGCTAGGGCGACGAACGGGCAAGGGATTCGATCTTTGCGTTAGCGGTGGATCAGTGTGCAGTTTTGCAGGTTGCCATTACTGCTTCGTCACAGTGGCAGCATTATGCCGTCGTCATGTCAGCATTATGCAATCGTTATGCCCCCCTGCAGGCTTCGAAGAACTGGAGAGGATGCTCCTGAAGGCCTTCTTTGCTAGCCAAAAAATGCAATGTCCAAACCGAGAAAGAGAAAAACTGTTTGCACACATGTACAGTGAGAAGAAAAGATCAAAGTCCCGCATAAGAGCCACTAATGAACGAACAACTCGTGCTGTCCTATCTTCAACAAAGTGTACACCGAATGGGGAACAAACCACTCAGCACAGGCACTGCCGTTCTTTTCTTTAATTTTTTGAGTTCATACAAAATTGACGAAATGGTTTTGTCCAGCCGAGGTGTACACATGAAGGATGTGTTGCACAGTTCGTGTGTGCCGCGAGCAGGTAAAAAGAGGCGTGTCCAACTAGCTAACCTAGCTATCCAAATTTTTTTTTTTTTTTTTTTTGCAATCTTTTCGTCTGCACTGTTCATATTTTTGTGCTAGGGCGACGAACGGGCAAGGGATTCGATCTTTGCGTTAGCGGTGGATCAGTGTGCAGTTTTGCAGGTTGCCATTACTGCTTCGTCACAGTGGCAGCATTATGCCGTCGTCATGTCAGCATTATGCAATCGTTATGCCCCCCTGCAGGCTTCGAAGAACTGGAGAGGATGCTCCTGAAGGCCTTCTTTGCTAGCCAAAAAATGCAATGTCCAAACCGAGAAAGAGAAAAACTGTTTGCACACATGTACAGTGAGAAGAAAAGATCAAAGTCCAGCATAAGAAACTCCATAAAGCATTTCTTTTTAACGTATAAATTCACAAATTGGGAATATTTAAAAAAGTACCAACAGGAAAGGAAAATCTACATAAATAAAATTTCTAACAACCTGGAGAGAAAAATGCTAAAAAGGAAAATAAAAAAAATGGACGATCTGGTTAAGCAGAATGGAAGCTTTAAGCATATGAACAAGTACAACAAATTTTTAATTTACAAATTTTCCTCAAAATGGAAGAAGAAAAAAAAATATTTAATCCTTAAGAGCACCATTAATTCGTCCTATGTGGACGCAAATGACATGATCGAGTTATTGTTCAGCTCAGTTGTTATGTCCATTAGACATCTTGTCAATCACCCTAAGGGGAGCTTTCCCCGCGCACGCGATGATCCCACCTGTGAACCCCCCATGTCTGAATACCCCAAATGTGTAACATTCCTGTTAAAAAAAATGATTGTCTTGAAAAAGCCTAAAATCGTTAACATTACGTACCCTCTCTTCTTTAAACTCCGTCTGTGTATTGAAGCCATCAAATGGGTGTATCCCAAGCTGATGAAAAATTATGGGCACATATTAATGTACTGGAAGAAAGTGATAGGCGCTCATTTGGGGAGTGAGAAGACCTTTAAAAATTATTTCGACTATGCGCACAGCGGTATGAGCGGTATCAGCGGGAACAACACGTTGAGCGCATCCCACATGCTAACAGACGGTAACGATTGGGGTAGTGCCCCTCACGTGGTTACCCCTTCAAAAGGACAGACGCAGCAGAGCCTCACGAAGCACGGGAACGATGCTCTCCAAAAATTTCTAACATACCCCTGCATTTCGCAAACCAATTACAAATATAAATTAAAAAGTAAAAAAAACTACTCCCTCGAGAATTGTCTTTACTTTAAAAATTCCAAATATTACAAAAACGTAGCCTTTCACGACATGCATGAGCACGTGAGCTACCTCCAAAACGCATCTCACCAGCTGTACATTAACTTCGTGCACTTGAAGAGAAGACTACTACGGCGAAGTAATAACCAGGGGGGGCAAAAAAGGAAGAAAAAAAAAAAAAAAAAACTATAAAAGCGTAAAGCAGTTAAACTCTAATTGTGCCAAACGAAATAATATACTGTTCAAATGCTCCTTCAACATAGTTGACGTAAGAAAAGTGGAAATGTTTCATAACCATTTGGTCAGAGTAGACGTCGCTAAACGTAACGGTACCGGCAACATACGCACGTTTTTTGTCTTTCCCTACGCACCCTTTAACCTCAACACAGTCGTACAAAATGGCACAAGCGAAGATACCGCATTGCAGTTGTGCGAATCCACATTTTGCACACGCGAATTATTTTTAACTTTATTTTTGATGAAAGTGGAATTGGCTAAGCACATCCAGACAGAGTAATAGCTACAAAAAAAGTTATGTGTTGAAAATATGCTCATTCTTTTTTTTTTTTTTTTCCTTTTGCTGCGGCGGATGTGACAACTACAAGGCATCGTCCGCGTGTATATGGGGGGTGAAGTATAAATTGTGTTCCTCTCTGCTCCTTCACCGCGTTAATAAATGTCGGCCGTAGTCCTCCCCACATGCATTTCTATGTGAAGCGTAGCCGATTGGCTGCTTAACCAGATAGCCATCATTTCACACCTCTTTGTATTCCCCATTTCCCCGTTTTCAGGATAAACATCGTGCCCGTGGCCACGGACAAACTGAACAGCATGCGCAGCAGAAAGCAGCTCCATTTGTACTTATCATCAAAACTGTTGTGTTGAAGGGAAATTTGCAAAACGCAAAGGTGTGCCAGTTTGTTATAGTACCATATAATTTTTTTTTTTTTTTTTTTTGTATATTTGCCTGAACATGGTCAGAAAAAAAAAAAAATTTATTCTTCCCCATTCATAGCGTAAAATTGGTGGAGTTTCCACAGAAGTGTGAAGCTAAGCCTACTTGGATTTAGGGTTCATCAGCATATGTCTCCAGTTGCGTTTCATTTTGGGCAAAACGCGTAACGTTTTTTTAACAGTATAGATTACGCGGGGATACTTTGTTCTTTTTTTTTTTTTTTTTTTTTCTTTTTAATTTATCCTTTGATTTGTTTAACCCAATGGCAACGCCACAACGTTGTCTCATTTGTGAGATCGTACCCACATGAGTGATAAAAAAAAATGGTTGCGTTTTTCGGTTTCCCTTGCGTAGCAGCATGTAGTCACTGCGCTGCTCTGGAGCGCCAAGTAAAAATGCACCTTTCTCCGCACGAATGGCATGCATGTAGGCGTGGAATGCCGTTGCGTATTATGTTGCATTTGCTACGTTTGTTGTATTTTTTTTTTTTTTTCCGCGAACTCAACATCCCAGAGCATATATCTTATTTGCTTAATTTGTTTCGTTCAACGTGGCCCAGCAGGGAAGCACATACACAGATATGTATGTAACGTAGCGTGAGGCCGAAGCGTAATGAATTGCATACTGATATGCGATTTTTCGGGCCCGCTTTGCCCCTTTTAACAATTTCCAATAGGCGCGCAAAACGCGGATTTATAGTTAGCTGCGCATAAAGGGTGGGCACATAGCCTCTTCTTTTTTCCCCCAAGGGACATTAAAAAAAAATAAATAATACCGCCCCTTTTTATGCCCATTAGCGGAGTATACCTATCGTCAAATCGCTTTGTTAAAAAAGATTCGCGGCCCCCACGCCATAAATATTTTTGTTCATCATTATATATTTTATGCATCGTGGCCGCGGTCATTGTGATTTTTTTATTTTCCGAAAAGGGACTCGATGCATTTTAACCCTTTCCTGCGTTAGCCCTTAAAAGCTGCTTCCCCCTGCACAGTAGTACATGTATGCATATAACGTGACGCCTCCCCTTCAATGTCTAGAAGAAGCATACGTTTGCCCGCGGAGGTCAGTAGGATCCTTTACGTCAGGTGAGAGCATTTTACCACTTGAGAGAGAGAGAGAGAGAGAACAAAAAGGGGGACCTTTCACAGTTGTAAAAAAGGGTTCCCAGCTGTTATCGGCATTGAAAAAAAAAAAAAAAAAAATACATTCCATACCATAATATAACTGTAATGGCCATTTGAGTGACCCTTTACTCTTGTTCAATGTGTTTTGTAACGTGCGAATACAATGTTAATGTTTTTACCCCACCCCCTGACCGCCGCACCATGATCCCATCAAATCTCGTTTTCCCTCTTTGCAGAAACCTGCCTTACAAAATATCGGCCGATGAGCTGTACGACATTTTTGGAAAATATGGCACAGTGAGACAAATACGAAAAGGAAATGCCGAAGGTACGAAAGGAACATCTTTTGTCGTCTACGACGATATTTATGATGCCAAGAATGCCCTGGACCACTTGTCTGGTTTCAATGTGGCGGGGAGGTACCTCGTAGTTTTGTATTACGACCCGGTGAAGGCTCAGAAGAAGAAGGAGCTACAGGAGAAGTTGAAAAACGAGCAGGAGGCGAACAAGTAGGGGATGGAAAGAAGTAGAGGAGGTACGCCGTGGACAAGGGCTCCAAACCTAATGCGGATGGAGGTTCCGTGAGCGAAACCAACTCCACGTAACGTATGCGTGTTCTCTCCATTTCGCCGCACACCATTTGGCAGTTGAATGAAAGAGATTCTGTAGAGGTACACGTGAGACACAGTTTTGCCAAACTGGCATCTTTTTTAAGTAAAATTTTAGGGGAATATATTTTCCCACTGTTACATGTAGCACAGATGGCAATATTGCCACCGCACGCTCTCCCCGAGGCACTTTTTTTTTTTTTTTTTTTTTTTTCGTTTAACGGAATAACGTAAAAATAATTAAAACAATATTTGTTTAAGTTATAATTTGTGAAGAAAAAATGTTTAGTTGGACAACCCATTGGAGGAAAGTTCTCCCACCCCGTTGACGTAGTCGACGCCAAAAGCCGTTTTTGTCGTGGCAGGTGCATGTGGGGTGATGCGTTTACGAATATGGAGGTCCATCTATGTGCCACATTAATTGGAGCCATTGCCCCCGTGTTGCATCTTCCGTCACGCCCCCCCCCCTCTCTACTTCTTCTTGGAAACTTTCTGCTTGGGCTTGTGCAGGTATACGTAACCGCCCTTCATGGTGTACACATTCATCCGGACGATTCGGTAGAGGCGGTGGGAAACGGACCCCACGTATTTCTTGTTAAAGCCATGCACATTAATAATGGTCCCCGTTCTGTCAACATCAATGCTTACGTGCCTCTTGTGCATGGTTAACACTCTGGTGACGTCGATATTTTTTGTTCCAATGCCTAACCGGACAAACAACTTTTTCACTTTCTTCGTTTTGTACCATTTGTCTTTTTCCTTCCCTCCAGCACCGTTACTAACGTCACTATTTTCATTTTCGTTGACTCCTTCCTGAGCAGTGTTATTCTTCACCGTTTCGACCTCCGTCATTGGGGAAATCTTAAAGCTGTAATATTGCTTTGTGTTTCCCCTGTACGTGGGCCTATAAGGAGTGTAACTGACGTCTTCATAGTAGCACTTGACCCCTTTGCCTGAAAGCACAATTTGGACTGAGTAGCCACAGGAAAGGTCTTTCATTTGGTTTTCAATTTTTTTATGTTGGACACTTTTGGCGTTACAGCTAGATATGAGCGCGATGTCTTTTTTTATTTTCCCTTCTTCTTCTATCAACAGGTGGTAAAACCCCATGTTGTAATTTTTTCCAAAAAAGTATGAAGCTCCCAATTTGGATACCCTCCCAGGCCACTTTGTAAAATAAAAATTTTTTTTTTTTAACAAATTGTTACCCGTGTATTTTTCCTCATACTGATGGAGGTTATTCTTTCCTACATTCGAATCACAATTTCCTTCTTTCGAAAAAATGCTGTAGCCGTAACTTCCAGACACTCCGAAATGTCTTTTGAACAGTTCACACAAAGTGCGCTTACGTTCACGTGCACATTTGGCGTATGATGTCCTTTCCTGGGCAGCTAAAACGGTGTGGAAAATCGCCCTCTTCTGCAGCACTTGTGGTATCATTTTGAAGACAGCATTGCGTTTTGCGGGTGAGGAGAACGGGGAACAACGGGTCGGTGGACATAAACAAATGGGCACTTAAACAAGTTAGTCACGGGACGATAGCGTCATTTCTTCTGTTATATTTATGTCGTTTGAAGAGTTTTCCAAAGTTTTTTTTTTTTTTTGTGTTTTCTTCCCCCACCAACCCTGTATCAAAGAGCCGAATCGCACACATATGCGGTGAATAGCAGGGGTTGTAAAAATAACCGCGTTATGTTGCTACGCTGCACACTTGTACCCTGTTTTGTTAATTTTGCTTTACACATTTGTCCATGCGGTGGTCATTTTACCGATTTGCTTTTCTCTCCCGGTGGGAAAGAGCAAAACGGGATGCACACTGCGTTATATGGGGGAGAGCAATCTTGGGAAAAGCATTCCCAAAAAAAAAAAAAAAAACTTCAAGAAGGTGGCTCCCCCGAAGGGATGAGCATACGAGAGAGATTAGTAATAAGTGTACCCTCTCTTTGAGTAAAGTTCAGAGGTGAACTTATCCCGGTAAAACTCTCCCTTTTAGCTACATTGTTGTTTCTCTATTTTTTTTTTTTGTTTTTTTTTAGGTAGCTTTTTTCCTTTTATCTCTACAAAAAATTTGCATGACTTGTTCATAATTTTTACGCCACATTATGTGGTGCATACTGCGCTAGCTATTTTTTTTTTTTTTTTTTCTCTCAAAATTACGAACAAGTCAGAATTTTTTTTTTTTGTTTTCAGCGGAGTTATGACCCACACGATGTGAAACAATAAATGGTGGATAATTAATGTTAAAGAGGAGGTTGCCACATTGGTCCATTCCTTTTGCATACTGGTATGAAGGTGTATATATGTACTTGACTACATATGCACTACTTCTCCAGAAAAGTGTGCAAACCTGAGTTTTTCTTTCCCCACTTTAGAAAGAGAACAACTTGATACACCCCTCCTCCTTCTCCTGCCCGCCCTGCCTGGCTCTTGCACACAAAACACGTAGTTGCATGAGGAAGACATTTTTTTTTGTCAAATGGAAGATTTGCGTTTAGCCCTTCTTCGTACACACTGTGCACATTTTAAAAAAAAATAAACGAACTTCGAAATATTTATGGGGCTAAAATTATAAAGCAATTGTAGCAACCATTACTGAGGAACAAAAATACAGACGCGGTTATGCAGCAGGGGGGATGTTTTCACTTTGCTGCCCCTCCGCGCTCTACGCAGAGTCGAAGGGAATAAAACCCTCTTGCCACACACGCGGGATAAATCCGGACGCTGTGTTTGATTACATACATATACCGTGTGCGTATGAGGGCCCACACTCAAAAGGGGGACTATGAAAGGTAAGGGCAAATCGACCGATGCACCAAAAGGGGGAAAAGCTACCAAAAGTACCAAAGCGAAGAGGCCCACCAGAACAACCAAGGGAAAAGCACAAAACAGCAAAAAGGGAAAACAAGGAAATCTACAGAACATAAAGCAGCCCTGCAGCGACGAAAGCGACGTTTACTTTTACAACGATCTCCAGAGATGGACAAAAACTAATGTGAAAGTACCAATATGGCTAAAGAAGCCAAAGGATATAGAATCGACAAACGAATTTTATAAAAATGTGATAAAAAAATTGTTACGAGTAAAAAACAAAATAAGAGCTTACCAGATAGAAGAAGCATACCTTATAGATTGTCTGCGAAAATGTTTGATGGACTTAAATTTAAATTCGATTAGGTCCCTCGATTATGTGAATTATGAAATGCTTAAGAAACTATGTGAAGGTGACTACAGCGCTTTTTTTAAAAATGGTGAAAATAATAAAGAAGAAGATAAATGTTTGCAGCTCACAAAAGAGCAAGATGGTACAAGGGATAGTCAGAAGGACCTTGTCCATGAACCCATCCTCAAGGATGGCAACTGTGAAGATCAGACTACACACAATAGTGTGGACTGCCCAACGGGTAAGGTAACCCCTCTACCTGGAGAAGACATAAAATGCTTGATAGAAAGCTTGAAGAATGCCCTGTCGGTGGAGAAAAGTGAGAAGGAGAAAGACATAATGAAACATGTCTTTAACAAGGTAATTATTCCTGGGGCATTTTTCGAAAATAATAACTTCTGCCCCATTTTTATGAACCTGCTGAAATTGGACATATACAATTCTTGCTGCTTGAGCGGCACAGAGTTGGGTCCTAAGTTGACGAGTCTGATTGAACTTTTGAATAACTTTGATGAGGGGATGGCGGATGGTTCCAACACGGGGGAGAAGCAGGAAGGCGTTCCCAGCGCGAGCAATGCTGGAACGCAACACGGCGATGCCAAACCGGGTGGCGCCCACAACAACGAGTCAGAGGAAAACTCATATAAAGAAGATCGCCTCTTCTTCAAAAGCCAAACGTCCCTATTCAAGTTATCACAGTACTGTATAGAAAAGGGCATCGTGGATAACCACCAAGTGGCCTCCTTCGACACCATTTACATTTACAGCGGGAAGGAATCCCAGCATGGCGGAAACCAATCTCCATTTGATAAGCACAAATACAAAAATAAGAAGAAGAAATTATTCTCCCATGGGAATTTAAAATATTCTCTCGACATTACAAAAAAAAAAAATGAATCTTTGCATTTCATTAATGAGCAAAAAGATATCCTGGAAAGTAATTCTACTCGAAGGAGCATAAATCACCCCCATGTAGAAAGACACTATGATAAAAATGCTACACCTGTGAGGGAAGAGAATGGGTGGGAAGGACTTGTAGCTAACGAGAGTGTCGCTTGTGTTAAGGCAAAGGAGAGTCCACATGGGAGGGAACTGCTACCATTTTTAAGCCATTTTGATGAGAAGGAGGAACTACCATCTGGGGGTATTGCTACTGCAGAGAAGGAGGCCATTTCTGTAGTGGCCAGTGTAAATGAAACGGAGCAATCGTTTGTGAGCGCGGTGAGCAAATTCGATTGTGAAGGGAGCCACTCAAATAAGTGTCGCACTATAGAAGGATGTAAAGAAGACCCACACAATTATTTACATAACGATTGGCTTCAATTTGATGAAGGAGGAAATGTAGTAGCACGTGCGGGATTAGACGAAGAGTTCCTTCATGGAAGTAATACGAACAAGTGTGAGACGCCACGCAAGGTAAGTCCACCCACAGGAAGAGAAAGGTTTAGGTTGTATAAAGAGAACGAGCAGGAAACGGGTGACCAAGGCGTTGATTTACCTCTACAGGTATGTCAGGAAGACTGCCAATATACGGACAGCAACACCATGATACGTAAGAGGAAGCTGCACCAGACTGACCACAGCAGCCAAGACAAAACACAACCCTTCCAATATAACACCTTTGAGCTTTATATGGATAATGGGCAAATAAAAAAAAATAAAAGACTAGATAGCATTAACGAATTTGAGGATGTGCCGATCGAGGTGAACAATTGCGTTGAAAAATCACATGACAGTAGATGCAGCGATGTTGCCGGGACCCAAGTAAGGTTCCTGTTAGAGGGTAGCGAGGTGGGATGTGGTAGAGGCACAGATGAAGGGAGCTTTACAAACAAGGGAAGCAACCCCCTAGATTGGGATGAACTCCTCAACCGCAACGACCACGTCACGTCCTCTATAGGAAGTAACCTTCCTAGCGCCTTTCCCTCCAGTGGATACTCCCAAGCGTATCAAGACAGCGACACGTCTGTCATCATCGAAAGGATTAACTACGACAGGAAAAAGGGTTCTGATTCAGATGGTGCAATAAGTGAAGGAGTTAATGCGATGAAGAAGTTGCTTCCCCGCAGCACAACAAGGCCCAAGTGCAGTGCAGCTGCTGTGTGTGATTTTTCTACAGAGAAGAAAGGACATATAAATGAAGAGGATAAAAATTTGATATCCATTATAGACCGCTTTTGTGATGATTCTAATTTAAGTGGCGTTATCGATGTGCATGATTATTTGAAGAGCAGCCTCGCTTCTCATTCCGAGGTGGCTTCTTATCCCGTGGCGGCTTCCCATTCTGAGGTAATCATTTTGGAGGACAACGATGAGGTTGGGGATGAAGATAAAAGGGGGGAAAAGAGCGCCAAGGACATGCACGACAGAGCAGGTCGTAAATGGGGGGAAGAGGACAACCCCCCCCAGATGGAAAAATGCACACCCTGGAGGAATCCCCCTGGACGAGATGAAGCAGACACGAGCATCGCAGCCGCCACACCAAAGACGACGAAAGAAAGAGAAGGTAAGAAAGAGCTCTCCATCCTCAACATTGACATTGAAAAAATGAACAATGTAGTTCTGGAAGGTCTTCTCGATTTCTTCGGAATGAAGGCGAATACATTGTCCAGGAAAAAGCAAATCACAGAATTGGCCAAAATACAGAGCTACCTAAATGAGCAATATGAAAACATGTTGAAGGAATGCAACACCCCGAGTGGTGTACAGAAGGATAATAACAAATTAAGAAAAGGTACATCTGTGGAGGGGGATTGTCAAACGGAGAATGGCACTTGTTCGTATCACCATGATGGGGGTAAGGGAGATGAGGGTAGAATGTGCGCCAACGGGGGTAGTAGTAGTAGTAGTGGTGGTGGTGTGAGTAATTCGATGAGTGCCCAAGTGGGGGATGGTCATACAGAGGCACAGTGCTTCTTCCTAAATGAAGAGTGGTTTGACGGTGCTTTGGTAGGGGAGGGAAAAAGTACAGACCAGGCCAGTACCACTCAGATGATTTCCAACGAAGTGGGTACCACGCATAGGAGTCCCCCGCATCCCCTGAATGATGATCAAGCCAAATCGCAAGAAGACTACCTCAACCGCATGAAAAAAAAAATAAAGCAAATGGAATTAAAGTCGCTATTTGAAAGAATCGATGAGGCCATTGGCGTCAATGAGGTCCTCCACGATCACATAAAACGGGACAAGCAAATTGAGTACTCCCTGTTGAAACAGTATCTAGTGGACTGCAAGCTCAGCGTCAACCGCGAAATTGTCATGTCCTACTGCAAGGACAAGGACATTCAGGTTGTCATGAAGAAGAGGGCAAAGGTGTGACGGCCACGCGCGGATCGTGTAGCATGTGTCATCCATGCATATGCGCCCAGGGGGTACGTGCTTCTTTCTCGTGTGGCCTGTTGAGGGGTGGCACAGGAAGACTCAAACGTGGAGCAACCGCTTCGAGGAGCACTGCAAGTGTGGGTAACCTGTCCACGTGTCATACGCATGAGGTGTGCATTTCACGGTTCGGTGAGGCGACCCCTTGACGCAACCCAACACTCCCGTTACACAACGTTAACGCCTGTCCTGATTAGTCATTCTTTTTTTTTTTGTTGTTTTTGTGCCTGCGCGCGTTCACGAATTGTGAATTATGTGACGCTTCTTCTTTTTTTTTTTTTTTGTGGTACTACTTTAACGTAGCTCAATTTAAAATTTTCACCACTTTGCTTTTTCATACCGTCCGAACTTATTCTCCTTCGCAAGACGACCTTTTAAAAAATAATGGGCACCCTTTTGTGGTTGCCACCACCTCGCAAAAGAAACCACTCCCACCAAGGCATACAACGGCGTAGGGGAAAATATTTGCATGTGACTTTTTCAAGATTGACCAACCCTCATCATCATCTATATCATCCGTGTATTGTTCGCTTTTGAAAAAAAAAAAAAAAAAAAATTTCGACCCAGTGGCACAACTGAGGAATGGTTTAACGGATCAGTGAGAGTCCCTTCCCGCATGCGCAATTGTAGAGTCACAGGTTTCTTCGCACCGGGAGAGTCGCTGTCGTCGGGAAGGTGAAAAAAAAAGGAGAAACATTTGCACGATAGCACTTCCAACAGTTGCATGCGAAATGTTATAAAGAAAAAAAAAAAAAAAAAAAAAAAACGCGGAACCTTTCGCGCACTGTGAAACATGAGCGCGAACATATATAGAAGAAACTCCTTTGCTGAACTGCCACAGGGGGAATATAAAGCAGATCGCCAGCAACTCCCACTTACAACCCCACTAAGCCACGTAGATCACTCCACGGATCACTTCACCAAGTGCACCCCAACACGTTTATACTATCAGTACAACCACAAAGTGCTAGTCTCGGAAGAAGAACCTCATTGCATCCTAAGAGGGAAGTCTCTCTCCCAATCGCAGAATCTTTTATCGGCCCCATTTTGGTTATACCTGCCACTCCCAACGGGGCATGCGCCGAGCTGCCACAAAACAGACGCGAACCATCTGGAGAGAGGGGAGGGGGGGGACAAAAAAAAGGTGAAGAAAAAAACAGACGAGATCAACGTGTAACCCTAGTTGGAAATTTACTAAAGAGATCAAGCAGCGTCCGAGTTAGGGAATGTATACACCCCACATATGAGTGTATAGCAACTATGTATGCATATGCGCATGGGTGCCTAACCACGTGTCGCTGATATATACACAGAGGTACGTCTACCGTAGGGGGAAAGTTTCAAGAAGGGACATAACAAGAGACGCCTTTACAATTATGCAGAGCATAGGTAACACAATTGGTGATGATCAAAATGGGGAAAAGGTGAGGTGCCCCTCGTCGTTAGTGACAAATTTGAAAATTCCCCAAGGAGCCAAAAATGGTACGTGAATGCCAGCGTTGTGGGTGTTGCGTAAGAAGTGTGTCCTGTGCGCAGACGCGCCTCGAGTGGCCCAGCCCCGCTCAGTCAACACACCCATATAAACCCCGCCTTCCACGCAGAAACGATAAACGAACGGAACATGATGCCGGACATACCCAACTACTCCCTGACCGAAGAGTCCGAGTGCCCACTGAAAAAAAAGAGAGACGTGTCCTCCATACCCAAAAACAACAAAGAGAACTGGCTCTACCCCTCTCCACAGCAGTTTTACAATTCCCTAATAAGAAAAAATAAACACATTGACAAAAATTACATTGACGCTGTGGTGATGGTGCACAACGAAGTTAATGAAGAGTCCTGGAAGCACATCATGAAATATGAATACCTGCACAGGAGGTATGTGTCCGCACTGTTGGAGGGTCAAAATGAGAGGTTTTTTCAAATGTGCTCGGGAAGCTGCACGAGTGACAAGTGAATCGCACGTCAGGGCAACCACGCTGTTGTGTAGTCGCAATGCAGTGTAGCCACCACCCCATCCTTGCCCTTCTCCTCTTCCCCTCCACCCCACAGCAAATGCAGCGAAGTCACTCTACAACGATTCCTTGGTAAATTTGACGACCTTTCCATGAAGGCCAAATTCAGGAGTATTTTCTCCAAGTAAAAAAAAAAAAAAAAAAATTTGAAAAAGCGGCAGTGTTACATGATAACACTGTGTGGAGATGTGTGCATATGAACGCGTCGATGTGTAATATTTCTTCATCCCCTGTTGGAGGGAGGCGCTTCTATTATCATTTTTTTTTTGTATCCCGTACCCCCGTAGCCTAGGCAGACCATTCGACCGACACGACTGGTATGTGAACAGGTGCGGTAAGGAGGTCAAGTATATATTGGACTACTACAACGATGAGTCTATACAGGACGATAAGAATGTAAGAAGAGTCATTTAGTGGGCCATTCCCCCCTCTCTTCCTATATACACATGGGTGGGAAAGCGGCGCGCGGAAACATAAGCAGCTTCGCGGAAAAAAAAAAAAAAAAAAAAAAAAAAAAAAATGTCATATGATGAATTGCTTTTTTTCTCCCCCCCCTTCGCAGATTTACATTGACGTGAGGCCTGCCCTGAACAGCTTCTCAAACATCTGGGATAGAATACGTTACCCATTTTATGAATTTTACTTTAAGCATGTAAAGCGGTACGAGTTGTTTAGGTGACCTAACGGCCTGGTGTATGTACGAATGTACGTACGTATGTACGTGTGTATATGGGTAACTCACCAGGGAGGAAGCAAACGTGGTGCAGGGATTGTGTCCAGCAAAGGGGGATAATCAACGGGGATGGATGTGAGACTATGCCGTACCCAAGGCGCAATTTTTGTATTCAACCACGTGGGAACATTTAACAAGTAGAGCAGTGGCCACCCCTGCCACGTCACAGAACACATCACCCCGTCACAGTACACGTGGCATCCAGGCCGCCCCCAAAATTGCAAACCGTACGTGTACATAAAATGCGCCTGAAAAAAAGTTAACAAATTTTATATTAAAAAATGAAGAAAAAAAGACGGAGTGACGCTACCTGTTTTACGTCCGTCAAGCTGCGCAGAATGTGTCTACATCCCTTTAACACAGCGTGATAGTTTGCGTGAAAAAAAAAAAAAAAAATTACTTCCGCATGCAGTGTTGTTGCGTCGCTTTGTTTAAAAAGTGGGGGCGTCAGCAAAAAAAAAAAAAGTAAAGAATCTCATAACGTGACGCATCGCAGCGCTTGGTGCAGACCGCACACAGCTGCAAGAAAGGCAACACCGTTCCATTTTAAAAAAAAAAGGCAACGCTTCCTTGCTACACACTTGCATTATTTTCTTTAAAAAAATATATATATTTTTTTTAATCTTTGAAAATTTATTTTATTTTATTTTTTTTGTATCTAAGAATTAACGAAAGGGAAATAAAAAAAAAAAAATATTTATGTTGTGATTGCTGCGAAGAGGGGGGGGTGGGAAGACAGGAGGGCGTAGTGGACAAGCGGCCCTGTGGCAACAGCACATGTGTGTAAGTGCCTGCACACGCGGGAGCCACAAAGTGTGTGTCTAAGCGCAGGTGGTTCAGATGATCTATCTGCGCTGTGATGTGGGTGAGCCGGCCCGTATGCACATGCATATATGGCAAGCGACACCACATACATGTAGCACGCGGAAAAATATGAAAATAAAATAAGACTAAAGAAATTAAAAAAAAAAAAAAGATGAAATAAAAAAGGAAGCCAGTGGGGAGAAGAGCGTTTACACTCTTGCGCAACGCATACATTGCACATTTTTCCATTCACATTTTTTTTTTTTTTGGGGTGCACACATGGTACACATGAGCATGCCAGACGTTACGTCGCGTGGGGACGCTTTTGTAAAAATAACAAAAAAAAAAAAAATAAATAAATAATATGAGAATGAGGAATCTTTCTGCGCTGTGCACTCGCAACGGCGCTTCAGACTGCTCTTCTCACAACTGCTGTTACATCCCCCAAGAGCGGGGACATTTCCTGCCTACATGCATGCACGCACACTTCCCAAGGGAGAGATCAACGGCATGAGCAGAGGACACAACGACACGGGTGAACATAGCGAACAGAGCGAACGGAACGAAAACAACGGCAGCGTAGAGACACAATCTCATGCGTTATTATTATCAATGGTGATTCTGCTTATCCCATTTATATTTGCATTAAAGAGTTCGCATTTGTCCAAATCAGTCGACGCACCGTTACTACTGAGGGCCCCCCGTTCGTTCAAGTCTGCGGTGGCGTACGTGTGATCATTTTCGTGCGCCGCGACGTGTGTGCTCATTTTACCATTCGCACCAACATTGCCCAGCATGTCACTGAAGGCGAAAATGTTTTCCTGGGTAGACTCATTTGTTATGTTGGAGTTACTATTCTCATCACCATTCATTTTTATCGAGTTCATTAATGCGATCTGTTCATTTTCTTTATCAAATTCTTTAAAATCATCTTTCTCCTCTGCATCCCATGTGATGCAAAATTTTACTATTCTTGGGTTTTCTACAAATATGTGTCGACATATTTTGTCGTACTGGGGTACGGCGGGTGGCTTCTCCCTCAACTCCATGTCCTTGTAAAATGAATTCATGTAGTAGGCGATCCTAATAAACTCCTTTTCTTTGTAGTTGGCTGATATGAGGATGGCCTGCAGGCCCAGTACGCTATCCACGTCCATCTGCAGGGGGGGGGGGGGGGGTTCAAAGGGGTTTGCATTTCTCATCTGAGACACGTGTGGCGGCAGTTGCGGTCATGTGGCGGCAATTGCGGTTATGTGGCGGGCACGCAATGTGCACGTGACGGTCACGTCGGCCGGACGGTTACGCGCTCCCTCTCTGTGTCGCTGCACGTACGTTCTTGTAGTCGGGCGGATTCACCGCATAGTCGAACATCATCACGCCTCGCTCGATGGGTCCTAAGAAAATATTATCTAACTCGATGTCCTGGTTGCCTTCCCCATCATTGTTCACAGCTGAAATGTAAAATATTTTCCACTCCAAATCAGCCTCTAACTTATTCAACGCTTCAAACTCAATGGTAAAAACGAATGGATCTAAAATGTCACATATGGGATTGTTTACTATTACTTTCGTCACATTAACTTCAGACATGGTTCTTTTTTTTTTTTTTTATTTGCTGATTAGAAGAAAAAATGAAGAAAAAAAAAAAAGGGCAGGGAAAAGAAGAAAGAGGAGTTATCGGCCAGTAGGGGGAAAATATATGCCCTAACACGTATGCGAACAGTTAAAGATGGCCCAGTGATATCAGCTTGGTCAAAGCATTACACAGTGGAAAAGGAATTGCCTTAAAAAAAAAAAAATTAACTAAATTTCTCACATCTCTTAGGAAAAGAAAAAAAAGAAAAAAACACACTCTTGTGCTCTCTTGGCCAATGCAGTCAAACTTCTTTTTTTTATTTTATTTTATTTTTTTTTTTTTTCTCATGCTTTCCCTTTTCCATGCGTCGTGTATGCCAAGTAAAAAAAAAAAAAAAAAAAAAAAAAAAAAAAAAAAAA